ACTCATGGGCACCTTATTCTCTGGGGGAGTACAGAGTATGGTGCTTTGAAGTGAGGACAATAGATCTTTTCTCTCCACACTAGCCTCCTTGAGCTGTGTCCTGTTTTCTCATCCTACATTCATGTGTATACACTGTGTAATAGTCTTTATAGAGTACAATGTATGAGATACAGCAGTTTGTCTTGTTCATTCACCCACAGAAAGCACCTGATTTAACCTTCCTTCTATCCCAGAACTTGAATCTTTCTCAGGTGAGAGAGGTATCTGGAAAGAGGGCATGTGGTTGTTTTGATATGGTCTTTATACTCATTTCTGGAATGTTGTTATAGGTCTTAGACAATTATTTCTCCAACCCTGGGTGGCCAGGCAGATAGTTAGATACAAGGCATTGCCTTTGTCAAACTGTCCTGTGGGCTGAGTTTCACACACTGCATCCCCTGATTATGGTGAATGACCACTTCCCTTTTTCATTTCACCTCTATCTTTGTGTATTCCAGAGGAACTGACAGAAAGAGGTCATAGGCTCCCCTTTTCATTGAGTTACCTACGTTGCCTTTCTTGAGATGATTCAGCTTACAGCCATTCTTCCATTTAGTGTTGAAGGGAACCCAGTGGGAGAATAGAGACATTGTAGAAGTCTTTTGAAGTTCTGGTCCCCAATTACTTGTGACTCCTTGGTGCTTTGACACCAGGATTGGGGCACAGTATATCCCATTGCTGTTGCTGCTTCTGGGCTTTAAGGTTTACTTCTCTGTTCTGCCAAAAATCATAGTTATTAAGTGATTTCTGCCCAGATGGATCTTTTCTGTGGGTATGACGGGTTTTACTGTTGGCCTAAGTCCTGCTCTTTGGCAGAGTCCAGGCCTGTGCTGTGGACTGGCAATTGGGGATTAATAGGAAAGCAGATATGTGGTTAAGGTTGAATGATGAGAAGGTGGTTCTCTAGTCTTTGCTAAACAAAATTGGGATAGGTCTGTGAGATAATGACTGATTAAAAAAATTTTTTTTGTTAATGTTTATTTTTTATATTTGAAAGAGAGAGTGTAAGCAGGGGAGTGGCAGAGAAAGAGAGAGGGAGATTGAGGATCCAAAGCGGGCTCTGTGCTGACAGCAGACAGCCCAACGTGAGTCGCAGACTCATGAAGAGATCATGACCTGAGCTGAAATCAGACGCTTAACTGACTGAGCCACCCAGGCACCCTGATAATTACCTATTAAAAAAAAACAAAAACAAAAAAACAACACAAGTGTATCTCTGGCTACTTAGGTAGCTTACTTGGTTGAGTGTCCAACTCTGGATTTCAGCTCAGGTCATGATCCCCCAGGGTCATGGCATTGAGCACCGTCTCAGGTTCTGCACTGAGTGTGGAGCCTGCTTAGGATTCTCTCTCTCTCTCTCTCTCTCTCTCTCTCTCTCTCTCTCTGTCTCTCTCGTCCCCCTCCCCATTTGTGCATGCACGTGCTCTCTCTCTCTCTCTCAAATAAAACCAAAAGACACATAAAAAAAACCCAAAACAAATATACCTCAGTACTCACATACTTTCACCCTTCTTTTCACTCTGCATGTACTGTTTTGTTGCCTTTGCCTGGAATACCATTATCCTTCTCTCTTTATATCAAACATCTCTTCTTTCAGTGCCTAGCTCATTGTTACTTTCCCCCATAGTTCCTTTCCTTTCCTTGCTTTCTCTCTCGTCTCTTTCTTCTTCCTTTTGCATTTTGAGATAGAGTTCTCTTTTCCTCATCAGTGTTGCCATAACACTTTAAACGTACTGATTTTAGAGCATGCTTATAGTTATTAACTATGGTTATTAAACATGTTATGTTAGGGGCGCCTGGGTGGCTCAGTCGGTTGAGCGTCCGACTTCAGCTCAGGTCACGATCTCGCAGTCCGTGAGTTCGAGCCCCGCGTCGGGCTCTGGGCTGATGGCTCAGAGCCTGGAGCCTGCTTCAGATTCTGTGTCTCCCTCTCTCTCTGCCCCTCCCCCATTCATGCTCTGTCTCTCTCTGTCCCAAAAATAAATAAACGTTAAAAAAAATTTTGAAAAAAAAAAAAAAACATGTTATGTTATAGTTACAGTTATTAAACATTTGATTTTCCTCCTAGTCTTTACTTCTTTGGCAAGTTTCCTGTAACTTCTGTAAGCCTCAGTTTTCTCATTTGTAAAATAGGGATAATACAACTTACCTCCCAAAATGTTGTGAGGATTACATACAATAGTAAGTGTGACATCTGGCACAGAGTCGGAGCCCAGAAGATGTTTTTTATACTGTTGCTAAAAGTGGGAACTAGACTCCTTTCTTCTTGTATCTTCTTCCCCTGGCACATGTTAAGCATGAAAGGACATTCGAAGAATTGAACTAAACTCATGTATCCAAATGTCCTTCAATAGTCACCGTAGAGGGTTAAAAAAAAAAAACCCACAATACTCTGACATTGGTGTCTGTGCTGTGTACATTCACAAAACCCTTTTTGTGGTTTCTCTCTTCACCTCTAGATTATTACTCCCTTAAGAAACTACAGTTGTTTTATAGTCCTACTTAATTTTGGTCAAAAAATGATATTATCTAAGACTTAGGCTATTTTGAAACATTAAATCCAATCTCAAAGAATGAAAATATACTGCTCTTGAAGACATTGGAAAGATGGTATTACTAGTCTGGAGGCAGCTCCAAGTGTGGGGTTCCAAGTATGTTTTGGGCAGTGGCAACGTTGAGCAAGTGAACAAGGTGACTACTGACAAGGCACACACTCAGTTTGGTTTCTTAGCTGTGAGGTGTTTGTCAAGCCCTTTTTCTCATTCTCTTACTTTGGACATCCAGTGAGTAGGCCAGACTGGAAGACTGTTGTTATTACCATGTCTGGGCATGCAGGAGAAGTCCTCATACCCTGACATGTACCTTTCAGAGATTGACCTTTTTTGGGGGGAATTTTCTTCCCCTCTTCAATGTGGCTAATAAAGAATCTCAGGAAAAAAAAACACCACTTTTTTTCTTCTGCCATTAAATAGATACACTATTTTGGCCTTGTAGAAAGCATAGAAAAATAAAAACCAAAAATCACAAAAATCCTACAACCTGCAGATTATTGTGTTCATAACTTGTTGTGTTTCCATTCAATCTTTTTCTTTTCTTTTTAAGGTTTTCTTTTTAAGTTATCTCTATACCCAGTGTGGGGCTCAGACTCACAATCCTGAGATCAAGAGTCACCTGCTCTATGCACTGAGCCAACCAGGTGTCTCCCATTTAATATTTTCCTATCCGTATATACATAACGTTTTGTTTTTATATGTTTGTCATTATTGTAATGTAGTTCTTTTTCTTGCTCTTTATTATTTTGTAAGCATTTTTATGCCTTTACCTGTTTGTTTAAATCATTTCTTAACAGCTTGTGGAATTTCCTCAAATGAAAGGACCATTTATTTAACATTTCCCACTTGTGGGGCATGTGTGTTTCCAATTTTTTACAGCTGTACTATGATAATCCACATCTTTGTAAATAATATCTTCTGTGCATTTCTGATGATACTTTTAGGATAGGTCTCTAGAAGTAGAATTACTGGTCCTAAAACATATATTCAAAGCTCTGGATGTTGGTTTTTAATTTTATTGCACTTCTAAAAGCTATTCAAGTTACGTGTAACACTTTGAATACCCCTCTGATAGCTCTTGGCCCCTTGTGCTCTAGGGATAGCACTGTCTTCAGGCTCGGTGGCCAACTGGTTCTGATATTTTACTGTGCAGTTAATTTCATCATGGGACAGGTGCCAAGTGTCTCTTTCACTTAGTCAGCAGCTCCCACATGTCATCATCTCATCACTGCACTGTTTTATTCTGAAACTTTTCTCCTAGCAACTCTGGACATTTAAATGGCTTCACTGATCCTCCCAGCCCTAGTACCTTTTCCTCTTGCACTGAGAGATCCATCTGTGTTAATCGGGAAACGCAATACCAAGAATGACCTAATCATTGCTCTACAGAAATCCTGCATTGGAACCCCAGATTGGTCCAAGGTTGAGATTCTCTTTTTCTTTTCTTGCTGTTACTGAGCTAGAAAATCAGGCCAGGTTAACTTGATAGAATTAATTGGTTGACAAACTGCTATGTCATCACCCTTGCTTGTGGTAGGTGACTGCCTCTGAGAGAAATGGAGCTGGTGCCATGTTTTAAATCAACATATTACAGTCAAGTGCAAATTGGCTTCTGTTACTTGGGACTGACAGGCTTAGGGTAGAATTATAGACTTGATGAGAGTTCAATCTTGTTTCTGACTTGGAGTTGACATCCTGGAGCAGACAATGTGGGCTTTCTAACTGATGATAGACTGGGGTGTTTGGAAATTAGCTTGAGGACTGAGAGAAGGAAGGTACACGTGTGTGCAGGGCGGTCAATAAAAATGTCTGTCTCTACAGCAGCCAGGATAGTGGAAAATGGCTTGAGTCACCAACAGACAGGATTGCATCCTCCACAGTGAGAACTGTCTACCCCTCCCATTCCCAGAGCCCTTAAGCGAACCTATCACAATGGGGTGATTCTCTCCAGTGCAAGGAATCTGGGAATCTGCATATTTCTGGGGTGAGGCCTGTCAACATCTTTTACAGTACTACGCACCTACTTAGACTTTCAGTAAATCCTGTAGTTTTTGGATGCATGATGGTTTTGTACACTATTAAAGTTTATGCCCTCCTTAATTGTGTGTGTGTGTGTGTGTGTGTGTGTGTGTGTGTGTGTGTGTATTTAGCTCTTTTTAAAAAAATCTTACTTTTTAAAGTACCTTTTACACCCAGTGTGGAGCTTGAACTCACAACCCTGAGATCAAGTGTTGCATGCTCCACCTAATGAGCCAGCCAGGTGCTCCTCTATTTAGCTTTTTAAAATAATTTTTATTTTTTCTTTTTATCTGAGTTGACACGCAATGTTACATTAGTTTCAGGTGTACAACTTAGTGATTTGACAAATTTATACATAGTGCTGTGTTCACCACGAGTATAGCTACCATCAAAAATATGGAATGCTTCATGAATTTGTGTGTCATCCTCAGACAGGGGCCAAGCTAATCTCTGTATTGTTCAAATTTTAGTATATGTGCTGTCAAAGCAAGCACCTTAATTGTGTATTTTTTAGGCTTACTGCATGTTACTGGGCTAGAAAGGGTTATCAGTACAAGTTCACATTGGGGTTGGCTTCTATTGCTGCTGGTTTGAAATGCGTGGGGAATATGAGATTCCATGGCATAATGATCCATACTGTAGATTTTAAAATGTGTGGGGTAGTTCTGTGTTTTTTGTTATGACAGGAGATGACTGTTACACTATGTCTCGCTCTCAAAGAGTGAGCCTGTATGTTAGCAAAGTATAAATTATCATTTTTCCCTCATCCTTGGTTTTGTGTTTTTTGAAGTAGTTATTAGTATTGTCCCCACCATTCTGCCACAGTTTCTTTTGGCAATTTTCCTGGAGAAACGCCAGGCTATATAGCTCTAATCGTATGTATTATTCATTACAGCAACTGTAGGCATGGACCCTCTGGATGAATATCAGTTGCTAAACAGTATCTTTTGCTCATTATGGAGTGGCAGGAACCTTATAGACTTCCTGGTTTGATACATCTTGAAATCCTTTGATTTGGAAGATGAGTTTTTATAATTTGTTATCAACTAACTGGTTTATTCCCTGATAATGTTCATGCTTTCTGTCTCTCTCTCTCTGGAAGTGTCCGTATCTTTCCCCTTCCTTCTTTTTCTTCTTCTTTTTTTTTAAATTTTAAACATTTTTATTCATTCATTCATTCATCTATTTTTTAGAGAGAGAGAGAGTGAGCAAGAGAGAGTGGGGGAGAGGGGCAGAGGGAGAGAGAGAGAGGATCTTAAGCAGCCTTCACGCTCAGCATGGAACCTGACTCAGGACTTGATCCCACAATCTGGGATCATAACCTGAGCCAAAATCAAGAGTCAGGTGCTCAATGGACGAAGCCACCCAGGCACCGCTCTTTTTTTTTTTTTTTTTTTTTTAAAGATTTTACACATCGGGCTCTGTGTTGATAGCTTGGAACCTGGAGTCTGCTTCAGATTCTGTGTCTCCCTCTCTCTCTGCCCCTACCCTGCTCACACTCTGTCTCTCAAAAATAAATAAAATTAAAAAAAAAAAAAAAAAGTCACATGCTCCATCAACTGAGCCAGCCAGGTGCCTCCTCCGACACTTCCTTCCTTTCATTGAGAACCTTTTGCCTATCCAAGACATTGAGGATACAAAGATTAATGACAATCCCTGTCATTGAGGGATTGTCAGTCTCTTGCATGGTCCAGTGGGATATCTATCCCCTCTGTCTATTTATCTGGTGCTATTTATAGAGATACGAACAAAGTACTGTGAGAGCAGAGGTGGAGTGATTACTAGGGGCAGCTTGGTGGGTGATGGGAAGACCTGACAGCAGAATTGGTATTTGAGCCGAATCTTGAAGTTGGGTAAGAGTTTGCCAGTTAGGGGAGAAAAGGTATTCTGGAAAGACAACAGGTGTGCAAAGGAATAAACTCATGGAAGTCTGTTTCCTCTGGGGAAGAATGAGAAGTGTTGTGAAGTAGGAAGCTGGGGAGAATAGGCAGTTGTTTAGGGTGAGAGATGAAGCTGGAATGGAGAGTTGAGTCTGTGTTATAAAGGGCTAAGCAATAATGTAGGCAGTAGACAGCACTAGATATTTTCAAGGCAGAGAAATGATATAAACAATCAGGGGCTTTTTGATAGGGGAGAAGTAGAACTCTGGCAGCAGTATGAGGTCATATAGAGAGGTAGGGCTGCACCTGAAGTGGAGCTGTATGTATCTGATTTTAGTTTGTCCAGGACAAGAGAAGAAGAGAGCAGGCACATGAAATCCTTCTAAAAGGGAGTTTGGTTTTAGAAACAAACGGATTGTATGTTGAACTACAGTTGGAGTGGAGACACTTTTCCCGCAGCTCAAGTTGAACATGACCCTGTGTTGTGCAATGGTTTGTGTTTGGGTCGGTATTTCCTGGGACTCGTCAGGTGATGCACTTCGGCATGAGGCCCATGGTGTAGCCGGGAGAATAGCAGCTCCAAGTGTGTGTCAGTGATAAGAGGGGAGAAGCCCATTTAGCTCCGCGTTGGGCTTCTGTTTCTTTGAAATTCTCTGGGCTGCAGAACCTGGCCCAGGACTCCCATCTTTTCATGACCCTTTACAGATAGCTTGGAGTGTGGACTTCATTATGTGTTGGAGTGTTGGCATTTGATACTGTCCGTGACCTCTCTGCCTATTCAAAATGTTCTTCTCTGTTAGCTTCAGTGAGGGCATTTCTTGGTTTTCCTTTACCTTATTGCTGCTTATGTGCCTTTGCTGAGTCTTTTCTTTTTTCTGACTCTACCTCTGGCAGTTACCTAAGGGGTGAGGCAGTGTGGTGAAGTGGGAAGACCAGGGCCTTGGATCCAGGCTGGTTTGGGTTAAAATCCAAGTTTCTACATTTATTAGCTGAGTGACTTGGGTCAGGCTACTTACTTTCTCTGAGCTTCCATGTTCTCATCTGTAAAACGGGGATAAGAGTGTCTCCCACATAAAATTATGAGGATTACATGGAATGGCACAGGTAAAATTCCTAACACAGCGGGACATGTAAATACACCATACAGACATAGCTGGCATTATGATGCTGCTCCTGACCTTTTCTGTTGTTGTTGTTCCTCTAGCCAGTTCTTCTGGCGTCAGCTTTTCTTTGGAATTGCAAACTCCCACATCTGTCTTCTACTACTTAAAATTTCTCAGTGTTTTTAGGTGTTATTATTTTTATTATGGTAAAAAAACATGTCATACCAAATCTACCCTCTTAACAAATTTTTACAAGTACAGCACAGCATTGTTAACTGTGTGCACATTTGCTGTGCAGCAGATCTCTAGAACTTTTTCATCTTGCGTGACTGAAACGCTGTGCTGGTTGAACAGCAACTCCTTGTCCCGCCCCACACCTCCATTGGCAACCACCAGTTTACTTTCTGCTTCCATGAGTTTAATTGCTTTTATAAGTGGAATCATGCAGTATTTGCCATTCTGTGTCTGGCTGATTTCACTTAGCCTGATGTCCTCAAGTTTTATCTATAGTGTAGCATGACAGGATTTCCTTATTTTTTAAGGCCGAATAATATTCCATTGTATGTATAAAAATCTCAATTTATTGGTCTGTTTTTCAGCTGCCTGCAGGACATCTGTACTTGGATATCACTTTGAACTCAGTATTTTCACAACCAAGCCTAGACTTGGCTTTCCTCCTTGTTTCCCCAGTTTTGACAGTTGTGCTCACATTTTTCCACTGTCTTAGATCAGAAACCCTGGAGACATCTCTGGCTCCACTCTCTTCATCAACTCCCATTTTCAGTCTGTCATCGGGTCCTTTTGTTTCTTCAGAATTTCTTTTAAGTTTGTCCCTTTCTTCCCATTCCCTTTGCCATGAGTCTGGTCCAGTCACTCATCACCTCACGCCTCAACTACTGCAACTGCATCATATTTTGTTTTTGGTGCTTTCTGTTACCAAAAGTAGGACAGACCTTTTATTTTTAAATTATTTTTTTAAGCTTACTTACTTTATCTCTACATGCAGTGTGGGGCTCAAACCCACGACCCCGAGATCAAGAGTCGCTTGCCCCTCCAACTGAGCCAGCTAGATGCCCCATGACAGACTTTTGTATTCTGTCCCCATCCGACTCTTCCAGGCTTATCGCACGGAATTTCCAGAACACACTTTCAGCTGAAGACAGATCCATCTCCTTTAAAAAAAATTTTTTTTTTAATGTTTATTTAGTTTTGAGAGACAGAGAAATAGAACCTGAGTCGGGGAGGAGCAGAGAGAGAGGGAGACACGGAATCTGAACTGTCTGAGCTGTCAGCATAGACTCTGAGCTGTCAGCACAGAGCCCGACGCGGGGCTCGAACCCACGAACCGTGAGATCATGATCTGAGCTGAAGTTGGATGCTTAACCAACTGAGCCACCCAGGTGCCCCAATCCATCTCCTTATTGTACCTTGAAGTGCCTCATTCATTCTCTACTGCGGCCATTTCTTAGGCAGTTTTTACCTAGAATGCCCTTTATACTTCACTGAAACCTATCCATTCCTTCCAGCCTCACCTCAGGCCTTGCTTCTCCATGAAGACTTCTCAGATTATCACTGTTCATGCTGATGTATCACTTTCCTGCATGGTAGTTTTGTCTTCCCATTGAAATTGTAAGCTTTTTGAAAGGAGTGTTTAATAGATGTCCCATTTCTGTAACTCTCATGGTACTTAGCCCATACCTAGCCAGATTTTAGTGCTCAGTACTGAACGCTGATAAGGTGTGGTGAACAAAGTGAGTTATTCTTTCATTTGACAGATATGTATGAGCACTCACCGTGTGTGCTGTGCTAGGCCCTGGGGTCTAGTGATAGACCGCACAGTGAGGAGACTACTTATCCTGTGCACAAGCACACAAAATATTCGTTGGTTGAGTGAATTTGAGGAAACCAGGTCAGACTCTAAGTGAGGACAAGTGACGAGAAGAGGGAGACTTTAGAAAATAGTCATAAATGAAACAATAATTTATTGAATGTCCTCTGATGTTGATTATTCTGGGTATTAGGGATATACCAGAGAACAGGGCCAAGTCTCCTCCATTGTAGAGCTTCTATTCTAACATTTAAAGGTACTTTTAGGGGAGCCTAGGTGACTCCGTCCGTTAAGGATCTGACTTCGGCTCAGGTCATGATCTCGTGGTTCGTGAGTTCAAGCCCTGCATCGGGCTTTCTGCTGTCAGCACAGAGCCCACTTTGGATCCTCTGTCCTGGCTCTCTGTTCCTCCCCTGCTCATGATTGTTCTCGCTCTCTCTTTCAAAAATAAAGGAACATTAAAAAAATTGTTTAAAAAAATAAAGGCATTTTTAAAAGGAACACTTAATATTGAGTGAAGCCCACGTGTAGGAGGTGAGCAGTGAAGGAGTTAATATGCTTGTAGGGCTCTAGGCTTTGTTGAAACAGATGGTTTCTCTGCCCTAGGGAGTGTTTTTAAGGGGGATTAGAGGACAGGGCTGAGTAGGGCCCGAGATCTCTCTCCTTCACTCCCTAGCACACAC